CGGGACGCCGCGCCGCCGCCTCCCGCCCGCTCGCGCTTGTGTGCGCGCTCCCGCTCGCTCGCTCCCGCCGGCGGCGGCGCGCACCCTCGGCCTGGCGGCGCGCGAACAGCTGCGAGCGCGCGAGCTACCGCCCGGCGTGCGCGCCCTCCGCCCGCTGCCCCGCGCCCCGCCGCGCGGGCTTTGTTGGGTCACGGTCGCACCGCCCCCGGGCCCTGCGGCGGCTCCCGGGCGGCTTCGGGCTGCGGGCCGAGGAGGCGCCGCCCTGCTCGTCCGCCCCCGACCCCTCCGCCGGCCGGCCCCTCCCCGGCCACCCCAGCTCCCGGCCCTCCGGAGCCCCCTTCCTCGATCTCCCTACTGAGCCTGGGTCCTTGAGGCCCTGCCGCACGCGTCCGCCAGGCCTGCGGGAGAGCGCAGGCGTGCTGCCCAGTGCTGCCCGTGGGCCCCGCGAACCTGCTCACCTCTGCTGTCCGGGAGATGCGCATGGAGCTGTGATTCGCTTTTTTTTTTTTTTTTTTTGGGGGGGGGGGTCTTTTAAGTAATTTTGGCAGCACTTTCAGCTGAAACCTGTGTCCTACACTTTATTATTCCTATCGTTTTAAAGGAACTAAGCTAAGCGACTGGATTACACTTAGTGGCATAAAGTAGGCTAAAGCCAGGTTTGCTGACTCCTTTTCACTGCCCTTTCTTTGACTCTAGTCTAAATCTGGCTCCGGAGGTTTCCAGAATGGTACTCCGCCAGAGTGGAGCACAAAACCCTGCCCGCCCTTCAGGGAGCCTGGTCTCTTAAAAGAGGGAATTCTAAATCATCAGTGTGCGCCTTTCTGCACTGTAGCCTTAACTAAGGACAGTGCATTGGCATTTAGTGGCATTGAGGCATCAGATACTAAGGAACCAGATCCTCTGAAATGCATAAAAATCTGTCTAATAAAAAAGGGGTTCCGCACAGCTATTTCAAAAGATTTCCTCTCAGCTGTCGCAAGATAGAACACAGATTATATGGTATAAAAGTTCAGAGTGATAAAAATGAAAATGGACTCAACTCCAAGTATAGAATAATTAAAACTAAAGGCCAAACTTTCATATTTCTCTCCTTCCTTACAGAAAGCCCTTATTGAATTCAGCTGACGCTAACTCAAAATGGCAAGGATTTGGAAATTCAGGAACTGTCCACAGCAGCCAGCGGAGGGGGACTCAGTCCCTGAGAGTTCCCTGCTTCCCAGGAGAGGCCAGGGAGGAGGAGAGACCACCTGGCTCTTGACACTACCTAGTGATCTTGCATAACACAAACTCCACAGCCTACTTTGCTTCAGCCACCAGGTGGTCAGGAGACCACCACACAGTCTTGATATTCTCCCCAGCTAAGCCAGACTCAGAATTCTCAGTGATCAACAGAAATTAGAAACTCTGTGCCAAGTGCTAGCCCAGGATGTGGGGTGGCTGGCTCTGCTGTGGGAGCTAGGCCTCAGCAAGTCTGGCCTTGGTGTCCTCCAGTAAGGGGGCAGCAAAGGCAGAAAACAGGGGTTACTTCCTTGTCCCTTGAAAGCTCTGTGTTCCATTGCCATCCTAGCTGAGGTGCCCAGTGCCATAGGTCCCTGACCCAGTGTGGTTAGTAACATCAGTGAGTTCAGCACACGCCCTCTCACTCTTTACTGCTTTCTCACAGATAAATGGCTTTTTCTCTATAACATGTACTTTATTCCTTCCTTATAAAAATTATATTTGAGCTGGGCACAGTAGCACACACCTGTAATCCCTGGGGGTTTAGGAGGCTGAGACAGGAGGATTGTAGGTTCAAAGCCAGTTTTAGCAATTTAGCAAGGCCTTAATTAACTCAATGAGAGCCTGTCTCTAAATAAAATAGAAAAAAGGGCTGGGGATATGGCTCAGTGGTGAAGTGTTCCTGAGTTCAATCCCCAGTACAAAAAAAAAAAAAAAATTACATTTAAGCAAATAATAGCAATCATTATTCTGTGTACCTTTAACCTAGTTTCACATACAGTGTAGTCAACAGTGTTATCGCATGCCCTGTTTTGTTAATGGTCAGGGCACAGTATGAGGTTGAAATTTTTTTTTTTTTTTTGTAATACTGGGATCAAACTCAAGGGTGCTCTACCACTGAGATACCCCCCCACCCCTTTTTTTTTTTTTTTTTTTTTTTTTTTTTTTCAGTGGGTACCAGATTTTGCTAAGTTTCCCCGGCTGGCTTTGAACTTGAGATCCTCCTGCCTCAGCCTCCCAAGCCCCTAGGTTACAGGAATTCTTACCCTGCTCTGACACAGAAATCTGTAAAGTAGGGAGAGTGTCATAAGTAAATTTTTTTTTTAAATGTGTTATCTGGGCTGGGGTTATGACTCAGCAGTACAGCGCTTGCCTAGCACGTGAGAGGCCCTGGGTTCGATCCTCAGCACCACGTAAAATAAATAAAATAAAGGTATTGTGTTCAACTACAACTAAAAAATAAATATTTTTAAAAAATGTATTGGGGCTGGGGCTCAGCGGTAGAGCGCTCGTCTCGCACACGCGGGACCCTGGGTTTGACCCTCAGCACCACATAAAAAAATAAATGAGTGAAATAAAGGCATGATGTCCAACTATAAAATAAATATTTTTTAAAACTATATTATCTAATTCTATGGCCAGTAAGCCCTGATTTTTTTTAAGAGAGAGAGAGAGAATTTTTTAATATTTATTTTTTAGTTTTCGGTGGACACAACATTTTATTTTATTTGTATGTGGTGCTGAGGATTGAACCCAGTGTCCCCTGCATGCCAGGCGAGCGCATTACCACTTGAGCCACATCCCCAGCCCAAGGCCTGAATTTTTAAGAATAAGTCCTCTTCCAAATGACAGTGAAAACTCTGATTAGCTGCCCAGGAGACTTACAATTAGAAATTAGATCTTCAAACACAACATACAAAAGAGTACGTCCTGCTAGAACCTGGACTGTAGACCAAATATCAAGCAGAATAAACGCTTGTTCTTATCCACCTTGGTGAGTACACGATAAGCATCAAGGGAAGACCTTGTTAATCAACAACAAAACCCACCTGACACAGTAGGACACTTATCCCACATATCAATTTCAGTATCAGTGATGAGGCATTCGTTTTTTCCTTCAGAATAGTCATTCCTGAAGCTGAAAATGTTTAAAAGGCAGAGCTGTGTTTTAAATGGTAAGAAAATTAATCTGAAAATGGAGAAATGGATAAAAATGGGTTTTGAACAATGTTTTTGACATTCATTTTTATTCACCTCTGTTTTTTGGAGCAGGTTGCTGTGGTGGCCCTCATAGGCTGCCATTGCCAAGTAGGAAAGAGCACTTCTTACAAAACCAGCCACCAGCCAAAAAAATAAAATAAATAAAATAAAAGTAGTCACCCTCTCTTACCTAGTGCCACCTCTGTGTCTTCATGAACTGTGTGAAGGTAAATATCTACACGAAGTTTTCTTGTCCTCTCCCCTCTGCTTCTTCTGGCCCCTGTCACAAAAAACCCAGGTCAAGAGGATGTTCCAGAATGAAATCTGTCTTTCCTCGAGCTTTCAAGTTTGGCTTTGATTTTCAAGACATTTGATCTCTTTTTATTCACATCAGCTGAAGATACATTTGCTTCCACTATCAAGAAGAGGAAGGAAAGTGGGGGAAGGAGGTGCAGGGTGAAGAAAGGGAGGAAGGAAGGGAGAAAAGGAAAGGAAGGGAAAGAAGAGAGGGGAAAATAGTTAAGGAATTGAACTCCATCCGTTTCCCTAGGGGACCTGCCCATCTGTTTCCCTAGGGGACCTGCCCATCTGTTTCCCTAGGGGACCTGCTTCTTCTCTGCTTACCGGCCCTAGAGGCTGCCTGTAATTTTAGCAGGACACCAGGCCTGTCCCTTGGTGGGCAGCCTTGTTCCAGGTTTCTCAGCGTAGACTTGTGCTAAACAAAGCAGCACATCCTGCCAGGAAACCACAGCTGTGAACTGAGTGTGGAGGAGCGTGAGCACTCACTACCATGGGGATGTTCTAGTGCTCTCCACAATGTTCCAGGTTCGTGGAGACAGAGGATTCTCCCCTGAGGAAATTTGTGGCCACCCCAGCCTAGGTACCTGTATCCCCTATGGTTTGTTCCACACATTTAATTTCATTAGGAAAACCAAGTCGTGTAAGCAGTGGGCGTTGCATGGACTACCTCTTCACACATCCCTTAGGATTCAGAAAGCACCAGTGGTGTCAGGTCATGGAAGGGCTCCCACCAGGCCTGGTAGAGTATGTGCTGAGGAAATGTTTATTATTTGGAATCCCAATGGATGAGTCAGGTTGAGCCAGCAAAAGAAATGACGCATGTTCAAAGCCATGGAGCTCTGTGGTCAGACCAGGCCTTGCCCCAGGTTCTCTACACACTAAGGCACTCCAGGCTTGAGACCCAGGGACTTTGCTTCTATTCCAGTTTCACTTCAGTGTGCCTGGTCCTAGATCCTTCCTCTGGTAAGAAGAGGTCCAGCATGAGGTATATATAATTGGTAAACAAGAGAGCTAGGACATTTTCTTAACTTCTTATTTTGAAATTATTACAGGTTTATAGGAAGTTGCAAAAATGTACCCGGATGTTCGGTGTGTC